CTCATAGCTCACACGTCACGCCCGAAAATTGTGCCCAACACGTCACTACGACTAAAGAGTGTAGTGTACAGCCAAAATAAAAAATCGCAATTTCATTTCTTACTTAGCGTGTAGAAGCAACAAACCAAACAATAGAAACAAATAGCAAATAACATTTAGAATAAGGAGGTTCAATACATACTAGAAAAAAGAAGGTATAACAGATGTTACACGTCTATTTTCCGCGGAAAGACATAAGAACAGAAGCGGAAGACATTTTAGTGCTAATCTTGGAGTGCACCAGCCATGATTTGAAAAAAAAGATCGCGAAATCTTTTGGGAAAAAGAAGGTGGCTCGCGACATATTGCTCGTCGCTGTTGCAGACTCTGCAACGCGATTCCTCTCAGTTTCGGCAAAGTCGTGGCGATATCGCCGCTAGAAGTATGCCCGTCAAAACTGCTTACGATGGCACTATTTGTCGCCCTTACAACTGGCGCAATTACGGCGGGACCCACTCTCTTGAATACTTGAGCGCACAGGTCAGGAACACATGACCAGTGGAGTAATCGCGCAGCGATCGGAATCGCGTAAGGTATGCCCGATGTCTAAGGAAGCCCTATCAAACTTAATGAGTATAATTTTGGTATTAGCCATGTCAAATAACTCCTTTGAACCAGGTTCTAGCTTCTGAGGTTTTCAAATATTGGGCCACCCAAGTGAAATGGTACTAAACTAAGCCTAAAGAAGACGCAAGCTCACATCACTTTTGTGAACACTACGAGACTTGTATCGAATATATTGTTTGCCATCTTTCAACCGCTGAATTGGAAAAAAACGATTTCATCTTCTTCCAGGAGAAACTTTCACATGAAATTTTTATCGTGAAGGAAAGAGGTTTGGAGACAGCGTCCAGGCAAATCTAAACATATTGGGCTCTGATGTGGAAAGTAATTTTGGGGCCCTAACTGAGACACCGCTCAAGCAGCTCAAAATGGTGAACTCACAGTTGAGATGTTCGCCTCCAAACTGGACCCCATGATCGTATTCGCATGGATTCATGGCGCGACACGCGGGGGTCCTCGCGCGAAACTGATGTTCGCGCCACGAATCCATGCGAATACGGTCCCGGGGTCCAGTTTGGAGGCGAATATCTCAGCAGTGAGCTCAGCATTTGAGCTGCCGCTTGGGCAGTGGTTTAGTTAGGGCTCCAAGATTACCCTCTGAGCGTGATACCACAGGCTCAGACTTGCCTGGACGCTCCTTTGAGCATTCTAACGTCTAAATGTATGAATGCTTTGAAGGTAAGTCACTTTGGTGCGGCACAGTCTTAAAGGCAGTGGATCGGCAAAATCCAACAACTCGGGATTTTAACGCGGTAGGTTCCTTATCGCCCAACTATGAAAACAGTGCAATCCCGGTTGCACAGCATGCTTTTACTGCCGAGAAAATCGCTCTCGAACTTACACGCGCAGGCCAATCTTACACGCATCTGGACGAGTTGGCAATTTCCTTCTCACCATTGGAGGCTGTCCGCCGCAACGTTATAACCATTGGGTCCTGCCACGATTTAGCGTCATCGGCCTTGCTCCACTCGTCCAATATCAAAGGGAAGGGCATTAAAAACGCTTATTTTCGCCGTTTTCAAGCTTTCAGAAGTGGATTTTCGGGATCAGCGTATTAAAAAACCCCAGGTAAGCGCAAATTTGACTACGTTGAGATTTGCCGAGCCACTGCCTTTAAGGAAGTGTGGCAGTCACATCTTTTATCTGCTTTGCTTTTAATGTTACCTTGTTGTTATTATTAGGTTGTCTCATATGTTTTTTAAATTTTGCTTTTTACCGCAATAAGTCACATATTTCTCAGTTCTGATTAAAACGCAGAATAACGTTCGATAGAGCAAAGCAAGCTTTATAAGATGGGTAAGAGTTTGCACCAGCCCTAGAATTCACGAGCTAGAAGCCAAAATTAATATACTTGGATAGCCGAAAAATTGAAAAATTTTATACTTTCGCCAAAGGAAACGTACAAAATCTCAAACTTGCTCACGCATATACGCTCCATCTAATATTAGGTCGTTCCGAAAGTAATGCCGCTTTTTTCAAATGAACGCTGCATTCCATGGAATCAAGATTTTCGAGAGTTCTTAGGCGCATTCGATGCAGCATTTCATCTTCTTTTTGAAGGTTATGATAACATTACAAAATATTCATCGAGCTCTCGAAAAATTACCAAAATCTGCGAGTCATGCTTTTTGCCATGGTCAAGTTCGGCTATTTTTCTAAATTTTTGTACCTATTCTCCAAAGAAGTGCAAATAACAGGTGGATAGAGCAAATTCTATAGGACATAAAGCAATTTTTTACTTTTCCTTAACTTGCTACTTGGAGTTTCTGGAATCAATTTTTCAATGCCAACAAATTCCATAGTTGATCAATTCAAACCTCAGAGAACAACAACCGGCAAACAGCTCAGGTGTCATTCGACGCAGCTTTTTTTCCTCTTTCTATCAGTTGGTTTTTGTTTCCGATTCACCGAGTTTTCAGGGATAAAGCCATCATAATTCAGGTTTTCCAAGGCGCCCCAGCCTGTACCCGGAATTTTTGAAAGTTGCTATTTTGAAGCGGTGAATGCTCACTTGGTTTGTAAAATTAGTTTCAAACCATAACCCATCTTTTTAAGTTTTAAAATACGAAGATTTATTGGTGTTTGATGCATTTGTGTCTGAGGCGAGGTTGCTAAAACTCGGTGGTTCCATCAAAGAATTTACAGCGCAGCATCGGTTTTTCGAAAACTTGAAAACTTTACTTTTCTCGGTGTTTAGCGCAAAAGCAAACACAGCAATAGCATGCGAATGTCTAATGTGGAGTGTACACATGAGCATGCATGAGCGAGTCTGGGATCTTGTAAGTTTGCTTTGGACAAAGATATAACAAATTTTCAATTTTTCGAGCATTCGAAGGTTCTTTGCTTCTAACTCGTGGAGTGCTGAAGCAGGTGGCAACACTTCCACGCCATCTTATAGAGTTTGCTTTGCTCTATCGACGGTACGCTGCATTCCGATCAGAAAAGAGAAATGCGTTACCTATCAAGCAAAAATTGAGGAAAACTTATGAGAGAACCTAATATTTCACTTGTTCCCTATGCTATTCAAACGTCAAGTCAAACCTCTGTGCTCGGATTCTTTTATGGTGGAAAATTCGGAAACAAAACAGTTAAGATCCTGTTAGAGTCTCTGCGCTTAACACATTCACGACCTACTGGTGGGTCGTATGCTTTTTGAAGAATTAATTCTTCTAGTTTACGATGAAACTTTTTGTGCAAGTGAGTACTTCAGCATACCTCTTGGAGTACTTCCCCTAAAGAATAACGACTTAGACCACAGCAACCATCACCGACCAGGAAATATTACGCTAACTCAATATTGCGAAATAAGCTCTGGTCCGGAATGGCAACATAGAAAAATTGGCCTTGTCGTGAATGTGTCAAACTCGCGTGCTAAAGAAGGTAAAAATTGAACTTCGAATCTATTGCTTTGTAATCCCAGGGGCCGTATGTCACTGCGAAGAGTTGTGGTCTGGTCGATAGCAAATTTGAGACTCAATCTTGCAAGCCATGTTGTTTCTCCGGTTCCATCGACATCAACGTGGCAAGTTGGCAAAGCTCTTTTTGGCTGGTAGCCTTTTCAAATGTATCGTATACCACTTTATAGAACAGTAAACGCTAATATCAAATATGTTTTCATTGTTTACCAAGCGCCTCTGCTCAGATAATCGCCGGGGGCAGGCGGTCAGCAGAATTTTGGGGCGTGGTCGAACCTTCAGCGGGCGGCACTTCCTTTACTGTCGCATATTATGCCAACGGGCAGCAATACTGCATTTTCTGCAAGCGCTCGTCGAATAACTTTTTTCAGCGAGCGCTGGCCAAATTTTCAGCGGGCGCTCTGACTCTTGTTACGCAGTTTCGAGCGTACGCCGAGCAGAGGTAACACTCTATATGGCAGAGGTGCCATTGTTGGTTTGATTACCCGAGTTTGAGGTACTTTCTCTCAGCGGAAGGTACCCACGGGCTGTGCGGTCCTTCACAAAGGACCGTGCGGCTCTTAATAATTTTGCATATTCTCGCGGAAGTCCGCGGGAATGCGGCCACTGCGCCGCAACTAATCTATGAAAAACCGCAATTGTTCTCCGTGCATTCGCATAAATTCCGCCAAAATTATCCCAAATATCTGCAAGCGGCCGCAATAAATCAGCGAACTATTTTCCCGATGCCCGCCTGCCCATAATCGCATGGCCGCCTATACTCGACGATTTTTTATGTGGATTTGTAGTTAAGAGCGTTTTTTCCAAGAAAATTCAATGTGCAACTTAACCAAATTGTCAGGACCCGCTCAGGTTTAATTTTGAATACGAGCACTTCATTTCATGGACAACTTTTTCCTAATAAACTCATACTCAACACTTATTTGAACGCTCAGGTGACATTAACAATTGATCCTCAAATCTTGCGTTCATATTTCGCTTGAAAAAACACTCATAACTCGGCGGTCGTAGGCTTTTGGCAGAAAACATATTTGGAATCAGCGTTCAATGCTTTTCAAAGCGGTATACGACTCATTTGAAAAGGCCACCTCGTCTAAAAAGGCTTCCCTTGTTAGAAACTTGGTTGTTTTGGTTTGAAAACACCTTACAATTACTCAAATTGCGTTGCAAGGCAAATATCTCACTGCATGGCTGTAAGATTCTGAAGAAAAAATCTGTGGCATATATTGTGTTCAAATCGAAAGAAGCTATGAGTTGCACAGTGAACGAGCGAATTTACTGATATGTATTATGGATCTCCTCTGTGAATGCGACGCTTTGCTACAGTGAGCAAATAGTACCGCTGTAAATGACGTTGTTCTATTTGTTTAGTTGCTTTATATAGATATTCAACATCATATGTTTGAAGCGTATATAACCACTGCAGAGAGACAATGAGGATTATTTTCAAGTCTACATTGCGGAAGTGAACACTGCGTATTTATGGCACACTTTGTTATTCACAAACGTTTTATTATCATTTTAGTGTATTTTCTCCAGTGTAGTCTGACAGGTAGGTACATACGGCCACACTTTATATCTGACCTCTAAATGACTTTCCAGAACAGAGTCCGGTTAACTACTTCTACCAGGATATCGAACGTAAAAACATCGTCAAACGTGGACTACTTTCTCAGTTTGTTGACACCATTTGGCATATAATATATAACTTCACCGGAGCCTCGTTTAAAGGTCAGAATGCTTTTCTTTGATTTATCCATTTATGAAATACACCGAAAAAAGCACTCCATAAAAGAAAATGAGTAGAAATTAGATGAAGTAGTGTTCTCGATGTTTAGAGCAGGGAAAATAGCATGTTAGAAACAACGAAAGATTGTACATAAACAATGCTGCACGTACGCTTCCCGCTCAGCAGTGTAGCCATGGCTCTGGCAATGTTTTGGAAACGAGATCTCCATAGACTTCGCAACGTGAATACGACATCTCCTATGACATGCTGAATGAATCAAGCATGGAAAACAAAGAATAACGGAACATTCCACAATAACAACATTAATTGGAGGTTAAAAAGAACAAATGGCTTGATCGTGTTTTTCGCATTGGCGGCATGCTGTGTCCGGCGCGCACCACCTTGCGCTCCGAGCAGTACCGTCGCCATTCACATTTTTCGATCGTAGGGTTTTGTATGTTAATCAATATTATGTAGATTGTAAGAGAAAATTATGTGAGAAGAGGGAGATATACAACTTTGTTTTTTTTGAGCCATCCCAAGTGGCTTTCCAGGCTCAAAAGCACCTAACTCCTAATAAAGTTTGCCACGCCCTAATTCACAAAACTTCTTCGTAATCATTTATAGTAAATTTATAGTTCCACCTTTCTGTTGCGCATCTACACATCAATTTTGATATCATATCTTCCTCTTTGCTGTAAACAAGTTTTTTATCCCAAGCGTACTTTTTAGTTCGCGCGCTTCCATGGAGAGCGTATTGGAGCGATAAATTGTCGGTTTTGCATAAAATGAGGTCGGTAAGGCAACGCTGGCACCTACGACGTTTACGGAAGATGAGGAGGTGGGTTAAAAGAGGGAGATGCAATTGGGGAGCGGGGGTGGGGAGGCGAGGAGAAGCGTGGAAGTTTGTTGAAGCGTTGATGGGCGTTAAATTTTGAGGAATTGGCCAACTCCTCGGTTTTTTTAACCGTTTGGTTTGTATGTATACAAATCTTTAGAATTTGCGTGTCTGAAACGTTACTTGTAAGATTTTCCGCTCCTAAGACCGATGCATCGTCGTGACTTGCCCCGAACTCAAAGACAATATTCTCTTTGCTTTCAACTCCAGAACAATATTCAAATTGCCCATAAGCAACCCCTGCCAAACCCTTAGTGCAGCATGAAGTAATTAAAAAGAAGACGACACTGGTTTTTGGAGTACAGGAGTACCGGCTGAGAACATTGCAGACCAATTTAAGTAGCTAGCTGCACTAACACGCAAACAAAGTTGCTTCGAAAACAAAATTTTGGATTGAAATTGACAGAAAAGCGAAAGCAAAATTCCATGCCTTTGTTGCATAAAGACAGTCGATAATTGAAGTAACAAAAAGGGTCAGGCAAATGGACAAGCTCACCATAATCACATAATCAGAAGAGCGAACATCGCAACAACCTACCGGACCGGAAGAGTCAGTCCGCAGACACGTCATTGAAAATAAAGTCGATTTTGTCTACCAAGCAGGCCCCAAACACAAAAGCGAATTCGGAAATCTGATGCACTAGTGAGGAAGTCGTAAGTATGAGAAAAAGCAGCCTTATAAAACTCACCGCCATATTCGCAGAAAAGCAGAAAAGCGGATAAAGGGATAAGGCTAAATGTATCAACTTGATTTGTGGTAGGCGGTACATTGCGGGTATCTTGAGACAACACATATTTTTGATTTGAGGGATACATATCTGTTAATGAGTAGATCTTTATCTTTATTTACCATCAGTAATTCTGTGATGAATTAAATGATTAAGCAACACGCTCCACTCCTTCTGCAGGGTCTGTCAGAACGAATCCGCCGCCACCTACCGACAATACGGGTGTCTGTGGCGACAATGAATCGTAAGTGTTCACTCTTCTTAAGTCATTAGATAACATTTTGTTCCCAGGTGTTCATCATGGCAATTTAACGGCTTCTGTGAAAACGCATTCTATGCGCTCGAATTCAGAAAAAGATGGTGTGGAGTTTATTGCGGGCTATGTACAGGATATTGAACTAATTTTGAACACTCGGTGCTTGTAATCTCGTTGAAACGGGCAATGATTGTAACAAGCTTATTCATTTTCAACACTGAATACTATTCATCTCTTAAGATTGCTCACTGTTACTATATCGACTTAATTATCTTCATTTTTTGTCAAATTTGAAAGTTTCTACCGAAGAAGGATACTGCAATTGAATAATTGTACACTGACCTTTACCATAACACACTGCTAGTGGCGATTGTCCGGGGGAGGGGGGGGGGGTAGAATAATAAGAAGGATACTGCAACTGAATAATTGTACACTGACCTTTACCATAACACACTGCTAGAGGCGATTGTCCGCGGGAGGGGGGGGGGGGTGGGAGGAGGGGAAGGGACAGGATCTCTTTTCGAATGAAGGTGCGTGGCGTCAATCATGCGCTTCGAAAATTTTTTTAGGATACTTCCCAATTTTCGCGGCCCTACAACCCCAGGAATTTGGAAAGAAGAAAAAAAAACACAGTACTTCAAATATTCACAAAGTTATATAAATCTATTCAATCATTTATTAGTAAGGACAGCTCCTTGCCTGTTCTGGTGGTTATAGCTACTACATGTGATTGTTTACCGGCGCTGCAATTTTGTAACATTTTTGATTTGCTTGGCCATGTATCAATCACTCCCGGTCTCGTCCTGGGCACAGGTTTAGACTCTAGCTTCACAGAAATTTATAGGATTGGTAGAGTTTAGCGCAACTTCAAATTATCCTCTTCATTTTCACCTCTCCAATAAACTTTCATTCCCTGCTTCTCTAATTTTCCAGTCTCCCTCTCTTTCAACAAAATTGAAGTATTTTCGAATTCTGACGCATTCAGAACGTTCTGCTGCAGTTAAAACATTGATGTAAATGTCGAAGGTTCGACAGTCACGTGGAGGCTCAAATAAGAAGATATAAGAAGGCGTTTTGACGTCGAGTGCATTAGATGCATTTCATTGCTCTATAATTCCTACAATGCGTGTATCAAGCTTTCATCATACGCGTTCATTTGCCATCCATAGATGTTTTCCAAGCTTGTTCGCATACTTTGATTACTACGCTTTTTATTCGCCATCTCAATCACTATTTTATCCTCGAAACTTCCGTATAAATATGGGACAAGTTGCTTAAAATAATCTGATCAGATGGAAAGGTTCTACTTACTTACTTAGATATTTAGATGCTTAGACGGCCCCTCTTCACGTGGCGTGCGGGCCTCAGCACGAAAGTTTCCATCGATCCCTGTCCCTCGCTTCCGACATCCACGACCTTCTTGGTTGACGTCGGTGGCTGCGTCCACGAGTCTCAGGTGCGAAAATCGTATCCAGCTAATTTCTCAGCTGGTCCATCCGTTTCACGAACATGTCTGCCCATCTCGTTGGTGGTCTTCCCCGGGGAAATCGCGAGAAATGCGCTCAAATGTTTTCAGTATCTATCTGTTGTCTGTTCTTCTCAAGATATGACAGGCCCATCGGTGTTTCGCTTTCGCGATGCATTCCGCGGGTAACGAAGACATTCTCCTCATCTCCGTACTGCGAAGTCCGACTAGATATTGCTTGCGGAGGGTCATCTTCAGAAAGCTACGCCCTTGACAAATGTTTTATTTTTAACGGAGCTTAATATTTTACGGTTCAAAAGAAGCCAACACTAGTAATTCTTGGCCGTTACAGATTCAAATTGTCTGTCTCTTCCACTACAATCCGTTGATCGGTTCTCACTTTGGCATACGAAAAAACCTATAAAAACATTTCAGAAAAATATTAGGTGGATCCGAAAGTTCGTGTCGTTTTTAGACCTATTTTAAAATAGTCCAAAATGGAGAATAGTCCAAAATGGAGAAAGACAAATCTTTTATAGCTATCCAAAAAATTTCTTCCTCTTTCCAGCACCTATGTAATCATTGCGACGGCTTCGGCGAGCGCTGAGATAATTGCTGAAAACTTAAATCTTCATTTTTACATTTCTAACTTTCGCTAATTTTCAAAATTTTCATTTTAGACTTTTGAAGTACCCTCATAACTGTCTGATAAGGATAACCTTTTGCAAATTAATGCATTTTTTCATCCCTTCAGCATACTTTCTGGAATTACTAAAATGTTCTGAAGTGCAAATTTTACATTTGACTCATTCCGACCTCGTAAAACATCAGACACTGAGCAATTTAGGTACCATTCGATGCATCTTTTTGTCCTTTTTCTACCAGCTACATTTTCTTCGCGAAACAATGCTAATTTGGCTAAACAAAAATGCTAATTTGGCAGAAAAAGTCGCTGTACTTCCCAATTTTTTGGGTGCGCGAGGTTGTAGTCGAAATTCAAAAATCTATTCATTTTCACACTGCAATCGCTTATTCACTTCATAATACTAGTAACAATAATAACTAAGTTTTAGAACTTCAATATTTTGAGGTTTTTGCAGTATTTAGTGCGATTATGTGTCATGCGACTTCTTTAAAATCCAATGCTCCATTAAAATAATTCAGCAAAACTCTCAAGAGGAAGCTGGAAAAATGCAAAAAATTGCCTTAGTTTGAAAAAGGTTAGCCTTATTAGGTAATTATTAGAGCACCTTCAAAAGTCTCAAATGAAAATTCTAAAAATTAGCGAGAAATAGACATGGTGAAAAATGGTTTTATTTTTCGGCTATTATCTCAGCCTCGTCGAAGCAATCACCAAAAACATGGCTGCTCGAAAGAGGAGTTCTGTATCGGATTGTTATGAAAGATTTGTCTTTCTCCAATTTGTACTATTTTAAAATAGGTCTAAAAACGGCACGAACTTTCGGACCCACCTAATATTACCGAGTATGTTTGAAAGCGTTGTGAATTACGTAAAATCTTGTTTCGCATGTCAATAAGTCAAAAGGCCTGCTGGAAATCATCCGCGGAGAACCAGGATCTTCCCTATTCCACAGAGACCTTTTGAGCGCGTACATACCGATATTATTGGTCCTCTGCCACAGTCGGTAGACGGACAAAATACATCTCTATTACTGTATGGTATTTGGTAAGTTTTTCATCTGTCGGCCCTGGTATGCAGACCGCAGTTCCAGTGAAAAAAGCACTTGTCAATGACGTCATATCAAAGCATGGCCCCACTGAGATAGTAAGCGATAGAGGCTCAAATTACACCAGTGAGCTTTTCGAGGAGATCAACAAAACGCTAGGGATCTCCAACGCCAATAGCAAGTTGGAAATAATGGTAAAGGTAATAACAAATTCGCTCACTATCTAATGCTTAGAGACTAGGGATTTGTGGTCAGATTTTATTCAGCCTATAGTTTCCGTATATAATTGCAGTAAGATTGATTCAACTGGGTACAGCCCCTTTTTTGTGGTCACAGTGCACAACAGACATCCGGTGACATAGATAGATATCTCCCAGGAATTAAACACTAACCGTTGTCACAGATAGGTTTGCAGGACACTTTGCATCTGCCCTGCAAACTGCGATAGTGAAGCAGTATGCATCGAAAACGGCAACGTACAAGGCTGATATGACTTTGAAAAGAAAGTATACCAAGAAGACCTTCCATCGGAAATCTTGTTATTCTTCAAGACAACACAGTTCGTCCTAGACTGACGATCCAATGGAAAGGTCCCTGTGAAACTGTATATGTATGTATCTATCCCTCGTCCGAATGTCATAATCAAAAGTCTGTTTACGAAGTCACTACCACAAACGGTGCACATAAACAGGCTTGAACTGTATTTCAGCAGAACGAGCGAGCATGAGGTTACTGTACAAACACAAATACCAGCTGAAATGTTCAGTCGTATAATCAAAATAGGGATGAAAATTCTGGACACATTAACTATGACATTGGAGTTCCGCTCAGCTACCGAAATGTCAGGCGCTACACTAGAGTGACAAAGACCGATATGCCAAGTTGACACTTGCACGATACGTTCTGGAGATAGTGCTGATGTTTTACGAGTACAATGGAGTATCTGAATCCTTGATGGCAGCAGCTGCCATGTTATTGACTTTCAAAATGCACGACAAGGATGCTACTTGGATAACAGTTTCCACAAATATTCCGGTTACAACGCCGAGGACGTCGAACCGATGAGAGGGAGTTGATTCATATGCTGTAAAGCGTAGGGGTACGGTTGATTGGAAACTGTTTTCTCGAGATACAGCCATGAAGTATTCTTCTCCGTTGCTTCGTTCCTCTCCTTCCCGACATCAACCCGCTGGACAGACCAGTTCAAGCGCCTTTACCTTATCTCTTGGGACCTCCGCGTCAAATTCATGAGTTGCGCAGGCTCAAGACTTGCTTTATCTCCCTTGCTCCCAGGATTAAACTAACAACTTTGATTATTAGAATTTGTCATTAAAACATTAAATATAAACAGGGGCGAAGAAAAGGGGTCGGAGAGAGAGACCAAAGCCACCAGCTAGGAGGGTCAGCTTGGCTCTTCTAATCGTGATCAGCGCCGCCCACATTGCGACTACATTATGACAAGCTGAAGAGAGAATCATCAAAGAAGGGATGTAAGCGTTGCGCGAATGCATTTTTTACGCTGATCCTTCCCGCCACGTACCTCAAATCCTTCATGAGGCGTTCCATGATCACTCCCCGTCATCTGAACTCCCACTATTTAGTGCTTTTAAATTGACGAATGGAAAAGTCCCTCTTCTAATGGCCAATGTATGAATCCAACTCAAGTTTCTCCGCCACTACCTTGGCGACCTTGTTAAGGTGCAGTATGCCTCACGCGAGGCATTCAAAAAGCGGGGCGGGTAAGAGCTTCATGACTGGCAAAGTCCAACTTCATGACTGGCAATCGCATGGATTGTTTTACGTGGAATGTCTGCGCGAGCAAGAAAGAAATTTTGTAGGGGCTTTTTGAACGAAGTTACAGTTTTGTTTTGATTGGTCTTAAGGTTTTCGAACGCATAGTTTTTTTTCAGTTCTCGGCTCAAAACTTCGCGTGGATCAAAGCTGGTGCAGATATTTAGCACCATATTGCAGAGCTACGTTTGGTCTAT